TAGAGGAATCAAAGTGGTGGAACACGCTGCCCGCGTGTTACGCCGCTTTGCTCCCCGTCCCCCTGGTCTGTAGACCAGGGGGACGGGGAGCAAAGCAGAGCAAAGCGGCGGAACTGTCTGGGCTGGGCTGCCCGTCTGGGCTGTCCGCTGCCCGTGTGTTCTGCCGCTTTGCTCCCCGTCCCCCTGGTCTGCTGGAGACCAGGGAGAGGGAGGGCCCCGTTCGTAACTGCGGATCCGACGTAAGTCGGATCTGCGTAACTCGGGGCCTGCCTGTAACTTGCAATCCCTCTCAGCTTGGTATCATCTGCAAACTTTTTAAGTGTACTCTCTATGACACCATAGATCATTGATGAAGATATTGAATAGAACCAGTCCTAAAACTGATCCCTGTGGAATGCCACTTGTTATGCCCTTCCAGCATGACTGTTAGTTGATAGTTACTCTCTGAGAATGGTTATCCAACCCGTTATGCACCCACCTTATAGTAGCCCCATCTACGTAGTATTTCCTTAGTTTATTAATGAGAAGGTCACGTGAGACTGTATCAAATGCTTAACTAAAGTCTAGGTATACCACATTTACTGCTTCCCCCTTATCTGCAAGGCTTGTTATCCTAGCAAAGAAAGCTATCAGATTGGTTTGACATGATTTCTTCTTTACAGATCCATGTTGATTGTTACTTATTGGCGTATTCCTGTACATTTCCATTTTTTAATTTGAAGGTCTTTAACCAGACATCCTACCTATATTTTTTTCTTTAAGATAATAAGGAAAAATATATATTTTGTATGTGTAGTAAACATTGTTTTTTTTCTTTCTGTGTCAAAGTAATCAAGGCTTTAGTCACTCTTCCCACCCTAGGCTAGCTGAATCTTGATTTGGGTGCCTGTCACACATTAATGAAATGATGCCTTGTATTATTTTACAAGTGCATATGTGTTTCCCTGTAGGGGGCTCCAAAACAAAATAGTTCCTGTCACCAGTATTGAATGAGTGAGACTGTTTTCCTTGCTGCAATAATAAAACATTGGCTAATTGATGGGTCTACAGAGAGAGTTCAAATTATAATACAGGCCATTTATGCTATAAGTCATCTTGGTATACGTCGGTTCTGAACTAACATTGTTGATGAATTTAAGAACTCTTTTGTTATAAGTCCTCCCGTTCACAGATCTTACGTTGCTCAAAAAGAAGTTGAAATATTTGCTCAAACAAGTCAGCTGCTTGAATGTACAACAAAGAAATTCCCCGCTTTATGTTGTTTTGCTATAAGTCCATGTTTTTTGGAACGTATAGTGGTGACGGCCTGCATTCATCAGGATTCCTCACTTATTGACAGCTAACTTAGCAAGATTTTTTCACAGATCTTTACAGGTCTAATTTAAATTTTTCTCTCGCCCCAGGACTAGAACTGCCATGAGGGTCAGTAGCCTTCTGTTACAGCCTCATTAGCTGGTTGAACCACAAGCCAGAAGGTAGCCGGATTTGCCACCAAAATGTTTGCAAAGATTTCTGTCCTAGAAATTTTGACTCTACCATTCTCATTCTCTTCACCACCATCCTTAACTGTATATTATTTCATATTTCCAGTTTAAATGAATAATTCATACCCATCAAACCATACTCTCTAAAAAAGAACTTGCACAAATTTTGCATATGGGTAGAAAGAATCACAGGGGATCATTACTATACAGTATGGAATACTTACAACATCCTATTAAATTCAGTTGTAACATACAGGAAAAGCTCTTACTATGTAAACCACCCCCATGCCATGAAAATGTAAGCTGAATCCATTATTAGTAAAAATAAAAGTTTCTCTTTAGGAATGCGAATAGGTGTAACCAGTTACCCAGTATCTGGGAGCAGCCCCCTGCCTGTGGCCTGCCACGGGGGATGCTCTAACCCCACTGGAAGCAGTCCCGCCCCCCCCTCCAGTTCCCCCTTTAATCAGTTAATCAATTAAACACTATGTTTAACCAATTAACCAGGATTTTGCAACCCTCTTTCTGTTTTTCTGTCAGGCCTCGTTATTTCTTCCACCAATCAGGTGTACTGTATTTCATTTGTTTCATAAATAGTGCAGAACCTATATGGGAAAACAAACTGAGCTTTCAGCTTCTGGGAATATAAGTATGTATCGCAAGACTTTGGCCTTAATTTAACAGTCATTATAAGCCAAGTGAAAAATGTTTCTATAAATCTGACTGGCATATACAGGGCACTAATTCTAGATGTCTTATACATCAAAAGCAAAATACCTCAGTAGGTGGCCAAATCCATATGCCAAGCATTTTTTCTGTTTCATTTAGCATTATCCTGTTTTAACATCTTTGTCATGAGAAGGATTGTCAGCTTGTCTTTCTGTTTGCTCTTTATGCCACCTTATTCTCCCTGCGTCTCTTCATCCCCCCCCTCATTCCTATGCCATCAAAATTTACCCTACCTGCAATCCTTGTTTATGCATCTTGTACAGATATGCTCCCTAGCTTTCTGCAGCTTTCACTGCAGCTTTCTTCCTCCTCTGAGATGGCACTTGTAAACAATGAGTCTTTCCTTCCCTTTTCTCCCCTTATGTTTAGCTACAGCAAGTCTCACATTTTTGTGGCATTTATTGTTCTTAAGCTTTCAAAGGGTGACTTGGCATCACTGCACCACTTATGTCAGTGAAATCATATGTAGGGCTATTGATCTGCACCTTTTATCCGTATCCAAAGTTTGCCAAAAAATAATATCAAAACCAAGTTTCTGTAATTACATAGTCTACTACACATCATATAGAAATGGTGATAGTCGGGCAGGAAATTTCCCAAGGATTACTAGCTGAAGATATGGTTTCAGGACATTAGTTTTTCCCATCCAGTCGCTTAGGTCCGAATTTAGCAATGCACTCAACACATGCTTGACTTTAAGTAGCTGCGTAATCTTGTTAGCTTTATTTTGTTGAATTGCATCATAATTCACAAAATGTTCTGAAATCAACAATTATTATTTATTTGTTAACAAAATGTCATCAGATTATCAGAGTTCTGTTGTTCAGTATTGATGGGCCTAGAACTTTAAATGTCTGTCTGTTCTTTTAGGTGCTTCGTCAGTTTATAAGACAGGAGTCTGAATCAGCCACCTCCATGATACTTGAAAGGTGTAAGTAGCTGTTCATTTGAGAACATTAGTGCTAGTGAAATATACCTGGTTGGTCTGTACAGAGATATATTATGTCCCTTGCTCACAGAAGAGGCTCCTGTATAAGTATAAGCACTTGGAAACCATGGTGATAAGCATGTAAAAAAAGTCAGGATAGACATCTGCTTCCCCAGAGTGATCATCAAATGCTCTTCTGCAAAGAGTGAGAGTAAATTCCATCTCCATGCTCATTAAGTCCTCTTCATTTTTGCAGTCAAGAGTGTGGTGTCTTTAAGAAGTATTATGTGTTTCTATTATGGTTGTGAAAGAACAAGAACATTTTTCTTCAGGAATCATTATCAGCTTTTACTTTTTACTTGTGTAATGTCTGCTTTCATTCTGACTTTTTAGTCATGTGGCTGTTAACCTCTTAAGGGAAACCTAATGCTTTATCTTACGTGATCTTGTTTCTGTACTGATGTCTTCAGAAGTGTTATGTGATCCAACCAGTGAAAATACAGGGCAGAAAGTTGCTAGTAAATAATAATTTATTATTTTATGGTACCCAAACTTGTGCTGGGCACTCCATGGCACAACTAACACCACCCCTTAAAACATACATTCTAATTTTAGATATGATGCATTGAGTGGAGGGTAACAAAGCAGTAAAAGAAATGGAATAAAGAATTTGATACTAACTATAGAGGTCAGTCAGATGTTGGCTGTTTAAAACCTTTTTGGAATTGAAGTGGAAAAAAGGTAGTAATCATTGAAACAACTTTAAGGTATTTAGCTTTGACTAAGGCTTGTTATAATGATGGGGGGGAGAATTATTGCAACTTTGTTATGGTAAATATTCAGAAGTCAAAATTTCATTTTTAAAAATACTAAAATACTTAAATACTTGTATACTTAAAAAACCATTAAGACAAGAGTAAAAGAAAATGAACAGTGTGAGCAGATACTTCGCCCCCCCGTAAAGAGGGCTCCTCATTGATGTTGGCCAGCACTTGCATAGGTATCAGAAGTCAGAGAATCTGGATTACTTGGGTTTTTTTATGACAAGCTACTATCCTAACTTCTAACTTATAAAGTTAGAAAAGTTGCAGTTTATCCATGCAAATGTTCTTGGGATCAGTCCAGTCTTCCTGAAGTAGTAATCTTTAACTCATTCAAGGATATGTCCTTTTGGTATTTAATCTGATATTTTCTTTCCCATGCATTTCAGCCCTGAATCGGATCCAGTTACTTGGTCGAGTAGGACAGGATCCAGTTATGAGGCAAGTGGAGGGGAAAAATCCTGTCACAATTTTTTCTCTTGCAACCAATGAGATGTGGCGATCAGGGGAAAGTGAGGTGTTCCAGGCAGGTGAGTCTGTAGTTATTGGAGTGGAATAATGTGCTTTAAATGTGGTAAAGCTGTTTTAACATTAAATAATATCAATCCAGACCCTTTGCTGATGTAGAAGCCAATGGAGTTAAGCTAATTTATACTGGTTGAGGAGTTTGCTTATCATGGATATCGAGGAAGTACTTGACTATTTATTTATCAAAGGCATCTGTTGAATAGAGATTTGTGGAAGACTTTTTAAAGAAGGAAGCCTCCAGTTATTACATATTCATCATTTTACTTAGACTTTGTGGGGGTAGAGTAGGTTCTATTCTCCTTTTACCTCCCACTGGAGATGAAATAATGACTGTATCTTTGTTTAGATGCCACTTTCAATTTGTAATTGCATACTTATTTCCTCACTTGTTTACAATGTGTAGGCTACAGGGAGAAATAATTACATGTAAAATGAGCCAGGGCTTCTAAGCAAAATTACACAATATGTGTGCTCTCGTTATATTTGTATCATGTTGCATTGTGTTTCTGGCTAGGAATGTTAGCTATCGTATAATTTAATAATTGTGTAACCACACAAAATATTGTCAGTTACACGACTATTAGATTGTCCCTGGGGGCAGGGTTGGCAGCCAGTGTCCCCAGCCCCACTCCAGGGAGCCCCCTGCTACCCTGCGCTGCTGCCTCTGATATAGAGGCAGCAGTGGAGGGTGGCAGGGGGAGCTGGTCTCTGAGGAGAGTCAGTTTAAAAACCAGTTCCCACCACAGACTGGTTACTTGCTTCCCTGTGCTGCTGCCTCTGTGTCAGAGGCAGCAGCACAGGGTGGCAGCAGCCCCTGTCTGTGTGGGGTCAGAGCTCCCAATGGGACAGAGGCTGCTCCGGAAGTTGTGGAGTAGACACTGTCCTCAGGGAGCTCGAACCTCCTGCAGACAGGGGCTGCTGCCATGAAGCAGCCTTCCTTGCCCCTCCCCCTTGCTGCTGCCTCTCATAGAGGCAGCAGTGGGGCAGGAAGGTGGCACTGTGGAGCCGGTGGGGTGGGGCGGGGGGAAGAGGTGGCTCTGTGGGCCTGCCATGGGCAGAAGCTGTTCCAGGAGAGGTGGAGCAACTGCTATCCATGGGGTGCTTGGACCCATTGCGGACAGGGGCTGCTACCGTGAACCAGCTTCTCTTGCCCCTCCACCCTCCCCGCTGCCGCTTCTCATAGAGGCAGCAGTGGGGTTGGGAAGTGGCACTGTGGAGCCAGTGGTGGGGAGAACTGGTTCCCCCCCAGCACCAGCTTCTGCTTCCCCATGCCCTGCTGCCTTTGATACAAAGGCAACAAAGAGTTGAATGCGAGTAGTCGACAAGATGAAGTGATAAGCTTAAGGTTATTGGTTAAACATCTAGTCAACTATTTGTTGACATCCCTATTTCTGGCTCTGAAAGGAAGGGGAGTGGAATGTATGGAAAGTATGAATGCCAGTACATTTCCATTTCTCCGATCAGTCACCTGACGTCTTAGCTGAGGAGCACTTAAGTGTTGAAACAAATCTTCCACGGTTTGTTGTATTAGAGAGAGGACACGGCATCCTTCAGCACATGTGCAACTCCTTATTCTTCCTTTTATGTAACATAGGTGATGTCACCCAGAAGACAACGTGGCACAGGATCTCTGTCTTTAGGCCAGGCCTAAGAGATGTGGCATACCAGTACGTGAAGAAGGGGTAAGTGGGGTAAAAAGAGTGCTTGGAGATTGAATGCCTTAACAATCAGTTAATTTAATGGGAAACAGGCATAGTGGGGGTGGTTCAATGTATAGGTTGGACCTCCCTGGTCTGGTACCCTCAGGACCTGATTGGTCCTGGATGAGAGATTTTGACGGACCAAGGGAAGCCACTTCTAACCCCCTGCTACCGGTCTCTTCTCTCCCCTCCCTTCCTCCTCCTGTTTCCTGAGCTCCCACTAGCCCTGCTGCAGCCTGCTGCAGCTCCCAGCCACCAGCCCTCCACCGGGACTCTCTGGGCCTGGAACATTGGTGGTCCTGCTTGAGCATGGATATTGCTGGACCAGAGAGTCTTGGTTTAGAGAGGTTCAACCTGTAAATTTTAAAATAGAATCATGTCTTGCTTCAAGAATTTAGTGCTCAAATACTACAGGCAAATGAGACAAGATCTCTGAACTTTAGACAATTTATAGCATAAAAATAATGATGTATTCTACTGCCTATGAACTGAATTCCTATGTTCCTATTAGTGCTCGAATCTATGTGGAAGGGAAGATAGACTATGGTGAATATACAGATAAAAACAATGTGAGAAGACAGGCCACAACAATCATAGCAGGTAACAAACTTTATAAGTCAAGCCATCTTGTTTTGCCATCTGCACAAAGGAAGGGAAACAAAGAAATAAAGCATGGTTTATCCTCCGTCCACTTCTTATTTCCAAATGTTATAATTTGTGATTTTGAGATAATGTATTTATGGTTGTATTTTTAGTTCCTGGTTTATACCAGCAGGAGTCATCTAACACCGTTTATAAGAACAATGAGGAAGGAAATAGGTAGCAAACATTTGTGGATTGCAGAAAGACTTGCTGACACAAAGCACTAAGTAGCCTGTGGGTGTTTTGCATTTTCTCTAGACTGGCCCTTTGCGGAGAGAGTTGGACATGTACATTGTTGTAAAAAATGAGCCTTGTTGAAGAGTTCAATCTCAACTTCAGCAGGGACCATTTTCCTGTCTAAGCCTTTGATTTCAGGCTTTCCACTAAATGTTAAGAAAGCCTTCTCCCAGTGAAAGGAGTGTCGTTTGGATATAGCTAGGGGAATTGGGAAAGCGGGAGTGAGGTGTTCAAGAACAGCAGGAAAAAGGGAGGGAGCACACTGGTTCCTTGGGCTAGAATAGTCATGAAGAAAGATGGAAAGTTCAGAGACTCCTCTTTGTTTCTCTAAATGGCAGTGATTTTTTTTTCTTTTTAATTCTGTCTCTTCCTGGAGAAATCACTATCCTGAGACTTCAGGGATTTTGTTTTTAGCAATGGGATGAAAAAGGATGAAATAGGAAACATTCTTGTTTCAAAACTATATATAGAAAGCTAGACTAGAGATGAACAAAACATGCACTTTTATTTTTACGTTTGGTTGTTCCCAGCATGCAGTCTTCTTACAGTCATAAACCCACTTGTTTAGATGGCCCACCTTGTACTGCACTGTTGATATTGGCCTGTCATTGGCACGCTTTCAGAGAGCCTGCCTGTAGGGATATGGCAAGTCTCCTTTTCTTTCAGTGGTTCTCTAATTTTGTTCTTTTAGTAACTCTTTAAAATAGGCTATTGAGAACTTAGGAGACCATTGGAAGTTAAATGTAGACTTCTCTTAGTCCCATAGGCAGACTTCCTGCTTCATACTGATTGTGGGGAGAGGAGGAGGTGTGATATCATCAGCTCTTTGCATTTTGGGATGTTCAGCATAAACAGGAAATTCGCATAATGATAAATTTATGAGAGGGACAAATCTCAATTTAAAAAAAAACACCCTGCTTCTAATGATATATTTGGTCATTAACCCTGCTAGAAGCTTGTGTACACATGCTTGAAAATACCCATATTCACCTTGAAAGGGTCTTTTGCCTGGGGAAAACTAGAGAAGCATCTGTATCCATCAATATTATATTTCATGGGATATTTGTTCTGGATACTAAAAAAGTACAAGCCCCTGGATTTTATGTTTAACTTCCCTACGAAGTAGCCTGTGTGTATTTGTGTGGACATAATGATACGCAGTAAGACACAATACTATCTGATCTGAAAATAAACTTCTCTGTTGTATTTCCTTTCAGATAACATTATTTTTCTGAGTGACCATGTCAAAGAGAAGGTGTGAGATGTTTAGTGCTTGGAACCCAGCCCCTGCTATTCCTTTCATTTTACAGTATTTCCTAATTCTAAAATCATGCATATGCTGTGTTTTCTGTAAACAAATTAAAACGCCCTTTTATATAAATAGAGGAACAAGTGTATATTTTTTGTTTTTTTTTCTTCATCAGGCTTTGGCTTCTGAATATGTTTGTTAGTACTTCTCTGTTCTATCGTACAAGGCAGCCCTTGGGGTTGTATCAGTTTGAGTCAATATATTTATGATTATATGTTGCCTGTCTTTGTTTCTTGGGCATTTTCAGACTGTACATATCACAGGCTGCCATAATCCTTAGTTACAGTTTTAATTCCAGTCCCTGGAAAATTTATTTAAATCTGTATCCTATTTTTATCCACTAGGCGGAGCTGTAAGTGCACCACTGAACAACTTCCTTCCACTGCTTCTCCGTTTAGAGCAATGGTCTCCAACCTTTTTAAGCACACTTTTTGAATTTAAGTGTAATCCAGGATCTTACCTCAAACCAAAATACCCATGCTCTGCTTTCTTCCCCACCCCTTCTCGGAGGCCCTCCCTGCTCTTTCTATCCCCCCTTCCGTCCCCCATTTTCACTCACTTTCACCAGGTTGAGGCAAGGGAGTAGGGTGCAGGCTCTGGTCTTGGATCAAGGGGTTTGGTGTGTGGGAGGGGCCTACAGGCTGAGCCTGAGGTAGGGGGTTAGGGTGTAGGCTGTGGGAAGGAATCTGGGTGTAGGAACGGTTCGGGGTGGATGGGGATTTAGGCTCCAGCTAGGAGCCACCTAAGGTGATGAAATAGAGCTAAGGCAGGCTTGGCCCTGCACCACTCGTGAAAGCTGCTGTAATATCCAGCAGCAGCTCTGAGGAGGGAAGGGCAGGTAGTTTCACATGTTGCCACCTCTCCCCCGTCTTCAGGCACTGCTCACATGTCCCACATTGGCCATGGTACCCTGTTCCTAGTCAATGGGAGTTGTTGGGCAGGGGGAATACTTGTAGGCAAGGGCAGCATGAGGGGACTAGGGATGTTAAATATCAGTTAGTTGAATAGTCCATTAACCTCATGAATTCTTATCGGTTACTCAACTAGTTTATAGTCCCAGTGGGTGGGGTTGGCAGCCAGTGCAATCTGGCCCCACTCCCAAGGAGCCCCCTGTCACTCCACGCTGCTGCCTTTGTATCAGTTTCAAAACCAGCTCCTTGCGCAGGCTGGCTGCCTGCTTCCCTGTGCTGCTGCCTCTGGTACAGCAGCAGCTCCTGTCCAGGGAGGCAGGTCTGAGCTCCTAGGCACAGCATGAGCTGGAACTGAGTTGGGCTGCCTGGCTCCTAATACACTTTAAATGCAGAGCCGCAGCAGGGGTAGGTCCCAGTCCCAGTGCAGGCTAGGACTCAGCCAGGATGCTGGCCAACCTGCTAAAAATTTACTGGAGGGGAGGGAAAGGGAAATGCATGTAGTCTATAGCATTAACCTATAAGCTTTTGCTTATCGGTAAATCAACTACACTATTACATGCCTAGTGAGGATCCCCTGACCTGCCTTCCCCAGATGCTTTCAGATGTTTCCAGGAGCAGCACAGGGCCAGGGCTAGGGGAGTATCTTTTGGACCTGCTGCACTGCTGGATTGCAGGAAAGTGGGTTCTGTTCTAGGAGACTCCCAGCCAGTGTTCTGCCCAGGGATGGAAATAGAGGGAATTAATTTTATGTGCACCAGTTTCAAGGTGATGTGCATCACCAGTAGAAACCAAAAAAATAGTTCTATTATATATTTTTTAAAATTATCATGGGGATTAATTACTCCTGCCATGACAGGCTACGCATATTAGAACTCACTACTCAAAGAATTAAATTTAAGCATAAGAAATAAATAAAAATTATGAAATGCACAGACCAGGCAAAAATCTGAAGTAACACACTTTGAAAGAAGCAAAAGTAGCAACAATAGCAACAGAAGTATGCTGGGTCGGGAAATGTGTGTGGAAGACAGTGTGTTTATGTGTATGACAGAGATTCACTTGCCTCTTTAAGTATGCAGAGTATGTTCAAACAGGAACAGCTGCCAGCAAACTCCCTTCATCCCGAGTCCTGTTGTATCCTCCTGCTCTGTGGAGACACAGTATGTGGGTGGAGGGAGAGGGACACCCTGACATAAGCACCCCCTTTTTTACCTTCCCCAACCTTGTACAGGAAGCAGGAGGCTCCCAGGAGGGCAGCTCCAAGGCAGAGCGCAGGAGAAGCATGGCGGAGGGGGGAGGGGAGAGGAGAGGAGAGGAGGCAGCTGAAGTGCTGGCCGGTCAGGATCACCTGTCAGAGGCTCTAGGACAGTGGTTCTCAACTCATTTCAGTCCATGGACCACCAGGCCATATAAAAAAATTTTCATGGACCATCTCCTTTTTGAGACATGATAAAAAAGAGCAGACAATGAACATTTTGGTTTGAAATTTATTCCTTACTAACAGATTTTTGGTGCCTGCCCACACCATGTGACTTTGAACAATGTTCCTGTGGACCACCAAAAAAGTCACCATGGACCACCAGTTGAGAACCACAGCTCTAGAATCTATCATTAGATCCTAATCTACTGGTTGGTGACCACTGATTTAGAGGGTGAGGGTGTTGCACTGTAGACACTTCTAATTTCTGGAGGAGAACTCCAGAAGTCTCCATTCCAGCGAGGGTGGAGTAGTGTAAGGCGTTCTCTTATGTTGTAATGCTGGATTAGCGATCAGAGCAGCCATGAGTTTCATTATTGCCATATCTGATAAAAATAATCCAAGTAAAAAGGATGCTGGTTTGATTATAATTATAGCTCTAAATACAATGAAATTCCTGCATATGATTCCAAGGGGATAGGGAGTGAGAACCTGGATGGTGGAGGCAGAACTCAGGTTTCAACTCTTCAGGGCTCAATGCTATTTTTTGTTTGTGGATCGTCTCCTATAAAATGGCTAGTGAAGTTATTGCCTTTCCTTATGTTTCTCCAGAACCATCCTAGCAATGTGTTCACTTAGGAGGAAAACGTCCATTCCTGGACAGGAAAGCTACTACTTATATTGTTGTATCTGGCCTCTGATTTACTACTGTGATGGGTATTCTAGAAATTCTTAGCTAGCTACATGAGTCAGTGATTGCATGGAGGTCACTGCATCTTTTACAATTAAAATGAAATGGAAATGAAAAGTTTAAATGTGTTGTCTGCTGGGCTGGTTCCTCACAGACCATAGTCTCTGCCCTTTCCACAATTGTCTGACCTTCAGAACTAAGTGAATTCTGCTGAGTACCATTGTGCCACCTCTGGTTCCTGACTTTCCTGCCTGTTTAATTTTTATCCAGTGTTTGTGTGAATGTGAAGTGCTCCATTATTTCTGCAACATTCTCTGCTGCTCTCCTGCTTCCAGATCATGCCAACAGAAGTACAGTCACAGTGGCAGGTGACACTGACTTCGTGCTTCTAATAGACTTCTGAAAAACAAGTGGGTGGGGTGGGCGTGGGGAGGTGGCTCTTGCCAATTGAATGATACAAACATATTCTAGCTCAGCCTCTGATCTCTGGCAGAATTAAACTCTTCAGCTTTTTGTAAAGCATCAGCACTAATACCAGATGACAATCTCCTTTACCAGGCTCTTGGTGTTTAGAAGAAATACCAGTTACAAGCAGAATCCTCTGGATTGGAAGATGCAATATGTTTGTTACAAAAACCTGATTAAGATGACCTTTTGGTTAATCCTACAGGTTTGGCCAGAGATTTGTTTCCTTCTCAGGTTTGGATAACTCATGCAAATGATGCCAGAGTGAAAATATCTTCTAAAACTGATGCCTGAAAGCCTCAGTAACAATTATGAATGTTAAAATGGAAAAGGTCTTCATTGCATATCCTTTATTTGGGATTGAACGGAAGAGGAGTGTAAAAGCTGTGTTGGGTGATCAGGGGGCAATGCATTCTAAAGCAGAGTGATCCCAAGATGGCACATTGTGTTAGTGAGCTATCATTTTTACAGATTTCTGATCCAGTTTCAGATTTGCTTTTAGGTATTTTCCTTGTTTTTAAAGCCCTGAATGTGGCAGGCTAGTTATTTCCAGACTATTTATCCACAACCCACCATGACAGCTGAGGTCAACTGCAATGATACAAATGATGGAGCCAACTGTAAAAAAGGAGACTTGAGAAGTCTCTTAGCTGTTGAACTCATACTGGAGATAACCCCGAGTCTTATCTACTTCAGGAAATATGTAACACTCATCTTTTGAGGGTGACCTTCCATAAGGTCACTGACAATGGCCCACACACTGCCCTCCATCTGTAGCTCTGGAGCAGGAGAGAGGCTGAACTAACACATTTTGATAAAGAATCCCACAATATGTAACATTTTTTCGTGCTACACATGATTTTAACTTTTTCTGGGTATTTGTTTTTGGGTATACTTTTAAATTTATTACTGATCAACCTTTAAAGGTGTTGTCTGATGTAGTAATAGCTACCTGGATGTTTGAAATGACACAATAAAATGGATAAATGTATAAAGCTGGATATTGTTATAGCAACGGTGCACATCCACAACACATATTTCCAGCAGAACTGTGCGTGCCCATTCTTGCCCTCTCATGCTATGTCTATACTACAGAGTTTTTGCAGAAAAACAGCTGTTTTTCTGCAAAACTCACAAAGCGTCCACACCTCAAGCGTGTTTTTGCGCAAAAGAATTGAAAGAACAGGAGTTTTTGCACAATAGGTATTCCTCTTTCTACGAGGGAGAAGCCTTTTTGCAAGAGTTCTTTCGCAAAAAGGTGTGTGTGGACAGAGAAAGGGATTGCACAAAAAGAGGAAAAAGCACAGTTGCCTTGGTGGCCATTCTGTGCATACCAATCAGTGCTTACTTTCAAGAGAGCATCCATGCAGTCTGGATGCTCTCTTTCACAAAAGCGCATCGCTTTTGCAGTGTGGTCGCACTCTTGTGCAAGAAAAGCTTTTTGTGCAATAAGCCTGCAGTCTAGAAGTAGCCTCAGACTTGCAGACTCGGCACAAAAAGTTAGTCCATGATAGGAAATTTTTGATGAGTTGAGAGAGGGGAACAGGGTGTGAAATCAGCGCATACACATGAGCTGTTACTATCTTAGTTTTTGCTTTGTG